GCTGAACAATAGTAACAAAAAGCTTTCAATAAGTCTGAGAATTTAAAGCAATATGGCTTGCACTGGCTTGATTATTCCTATATTATGTAGACAGATTCAAGTAATGTTGCTACATGAAATTGTAACTTTGTACAGAGAATTTAAGTGTCATCATTAGAATGAATATATCAGTAAATGGTGTATAGCTGGGTTAAAATTTAGAATTAATTAGGTTACTACAGGTGTGTTGCATTTTTTTTGCTAGTCCTGGGCTTGAAGTCAGGGCCTGGGCACTGTTCCTGAGCTTCTTTTGCTCAAGGTTAGTACTCTACCCCTTGAGCCACAGCATCACTTTCAGCTTTTTCTGTTTAGGTGGTACAGAGTAATCGAACCCAGGCTTCATGCATGCTAGGCAAGCACTCTACCACACACCCATATTCCCAGCCCCATGTGCTGCATTCTTAAAGTAAATCACTTAAAATTGATAGGAGGGAGGGAAGAAAGTGGATGAAAAATAGGACAAAAGGGAGGAGAGCAGAGGAGGGAATGAAATTCAAGAAAGGGAATGGAGGGAAGGAATAAAAGGGAAAACAAAAGTAAATGGTAACAGAAAGAGTGAAAAGGAAAAGACAAGGCTAGGGAAAGGGATAGAAATGCAAGAATGAAAGGATTAAGAGAAGAAAAAAAGCAAGGGGGGAAGGAAACAACAAAGAAGAAAGGTAGGAAAAGGGAGAACAGTGGGACTGAAGAGAGAGAAGGAAGGGAAGAAGAGGATTAATTGAGGAGGGAAGGTTCATTTTATGCTTTGGACCTTAAGCATTTGACACATGAAAACACTTCAGTCAACTAAATATACATGCCTTCTTTCTTCCTTCCTTCCTTCCTTTCTCCCTCACCCCTTCCTTCCTTTCTTCTTTCCTTCCTTTCTCCCTCCCTCCCTCCCTCCCTACTTTCCCTCCATTTTTCCTCTGTCTATTTCATCTTTCTTTGCAAATTAGAACACTTTCTACCATGTAGACTGGATTTGTTAACTTGCAAAAACAGATAATTAGGAAAAATAATAGTTCACTACTATGCATATAGAATATGTTTAAATGATTAAATTCTCAGAAAAGGAAGAGTATAAGAAAAACTAAATGTCAGAGATTGCATAATGAAGACACTAGAGCTAAATTTGGCTTATTCTTTATGATTTTTTCCCAAATTGCATACTAGCTTGCATTTAAAATATAAAGAATTTTCAAACCAATATCTCCAATGATCTCCATAATAATGAAAACATATGGAACCTCTATTAAAGTTCTGAGTTTTAGTAAAACTGGAACTGGAGTGCACCTCATCATCTCTGGACATTGCACCTTTCCACATACTTGTGTACATTTCTTCATTCACGGTGCTTGTCTGCTCTCAGAGCATGTGAGGGTCCACGTTAAGTTGCTTTAGTGCTGGTGATAGAAGACATATTGATAGTTCCCTCAGTTCTTTACCTGTTAGATCTACAGTATTCTGAAGGAAAAAAAAAAACACCCTTTTCTTAAGTCAAGCATACTGTATTAGTCATTCGCTTCTCTAAATTTACCTTTAGTGCTGACAGTTTCTTGCTTGCTGGCTTATAGAATTGGTATAGAGAAAAAATTAGCCTACATCTATCGAACTAACTAATGACTGACCACTTCATTAGGGCTAAGTGCATGGCTATTCACTGCACAAGGAGAATGAAAGATATCTTTGCTTTTTCATCTCAGATGTCCTTGAGCTTTCTCAATCTGATGAAATTATAGTCCACATTTGACTTCTGCTAGAATTGTATAGAAGACATAACAATTCATTGTTGAAACACCTTTCCTTAAAAAAAAAAACCTTGAACTAAATAAATGACAGAAAGCTAAGTAAAACTTTAGTGATTTTCTGACATTGATTATGTGTATTGTTAAAAACTCAAAATTATGCATATTAATTTTAAATGTCTTGATAAGTCAAATATGAATCATAAACTACTATATCTAGGAAAGTGTCCTGAGGTTTTCTAGCCATGGAATATTTTAATATTCACAGTCATTACTGGTAACAGGAAGCTCAGCTGACACAAAAATAAGAGATGTCTGTCATTTGCTGAGAAGTGAAGCTTTTAGTAGGTTGCTTGGTGCTTGTAAACACTGAATATTTTATTTGAAGATATTAGCACAAACATCCCAATGCAGCTGAGTAATTATGGTAATTTGACAATAATATATTATTCTTTCAATATTGGTCAGGAGATAGAAAAGAGCAGGCACAACATACTTAACTGGATTGAGATTTTTTCTACATTTTTTTTCAGTTGGCCTATTACCCAACTAAAAAGTCACCACAATCATCTTTCTTACAATTGTGTTTCCACAAAAATTCCTACATTTTTGTATTACGCAGATGCAACCATTTGTTACAAATACTCTCACCACACTTTATTTCAGATACTGCGATTCTAACTGAAAAACCAAGACTAACAAACTAATTTTACATAAAAGAAGTCCCCTTATAAATTGAATATTGTCTCCTGAGGACAAAAACAATAGTAATAACAGCTATTTGGAACTAGATGCCAGTGGTCACACCTTTAATCCTACTCAGGGAGGCTGCGTTCTAAGCTTACCTGGGAAACTAGTCTGAACTTTTGGTTCCTCAGATAACTGGCAAAGATCAGGACCAGAGGTGAGGATCAAGTAGTAGTGTACCAGGTGAACATTTAAGCCATGGTGAACATGAGGTCATGAGCTAAAACAAACAAACAAACAAAACACCAAAGCCAAGAAGAAGAATGCTTATTTTAGAATAAGACTTGACTATACTGACTTCACATCTGGCCTGACCCATCTATTGAACTGTATTAATTTAGTTACTGTAGATTAATGACTGTAGAAAAAAGCATGGTTCAACATGATAGACCTAATTTGTTGTGTTATTACATCAGAAAGGCAAGATACATAAGATGGTTGCTTTTATATTAACAGAGGAATGCTATTAATCAGATATAATGTTCCTCTGAGTATGCACATAATTGCACAGAATTTGAAAAGATTGGTAGATGGATGGTTGGATGGGTAGATGGATGGATAATTAGATGGATTTGGTGATTGAATAGACACAGAGACTGATATGTTTCATTCCAAAGAAATTCTATCGTAATCTTAGGGAATTTGTTACATCTAGACAGGAAAATAGTAGTGGATGAATTAGGGTGCCTATCAGGTGGAACTATGATCAGGAGAGAAAGAAAATATCCAGGAAAATATCTAAATTTGCAGAAATTGAGAAGGATAGGTGAATTCTTAGTGAGCATTAGTATTTGATACAAACCAGGCAAAAGAAATACCCTTAAAACGTTCAATTCTTGAAAGATGAAAATTGCAAGGCAGTTCTAATTACATGAAATGGGTTCTGCTCCTTTTTTTTTTTTAAAGCTGTGATATGTGTTTTACAGAAAGCAATGGCTTCTATCTTTTCTAATGAAGTAAGGATTGTGCTTTTCCAACAGGAAACTTACTTCATCTGATTCTCCCTTTCTTTCAACTTATCTATTCTTGCCAAACAACATCTATATATGCAGATATAATCACAGGCCGCATTAAATAAAAGTTGAAATATTTAGCATTTTCTGTAAGTAGAAAACCTTGCTGTGTACATTTATGCAGAAAAATAGAATTTGACATATAGTGTTCTAGCAAAGTCAATAAAACTTCAGATGCAGGTTATTTCTGGGGGGGAGAGGATAATAAGACTAATCTCTTGGGATAAGTGTTAAACCATACTTGCTATTTAATACTTTTCTATGCTTCTGGACATCTTATTACTAAAGATTACTTATGATGTAGCTTCAAGTGCATAGGAAAACCCTCGTAAACAAATATTACATTTTATTCATATTGTTGCTTTCACTGACAATAATATTTTCCTAAAGCACATAATGACTAAAACAAACAAACAAACAAAAAAACTTCAGTGTCAATCCTAAGATCCATGTATTAGGTATTAGATCACCATTCCTATTTTTGAATATTTTACATCTTACATCTAAACAACCGGTGATGTTTATCCCCATAAATAGCAAATGGAGTCACAGATATCTGGAAAACATTAGGCATCTTTGAATTCAGCTTTTAACCATGACTACACTGTATAATTTTATTTAATCTTGGAAAACCCATTTTCCTACATTATACCTTAAAATAAAAGGTTTTATTGGACTCCAGTTTTAGGTTATTTCATTGGGCTATATCTGGATATGAACAAATCTTCTTTGAGAATTTTTACTCAGTGAGTAGTCTAGGAACAACTGCTCTGAGGTGCTTGTCTTTAATGATTGAGACATTGTTTTTTCTTCAAGGCAACATTCCAGGTTACCCAACAAAATCAAGAAAGGCTGTCTAAAAATCTTAGTACATTTCTGTGTTTTTCTGGCTGTTATTTTTTCTGCTCAGTATTGGTACACTTCAAATCTTTGGAGAAATCTCTGCTCTCCTCTCCTCATTTCAACCCTCTCTCTAATTTTTATTAACATCAATTGACTGTACAAGGAAGTTTCATTTTGACAAAGTCCATATATACATACTATATATGTATATATATATATATATATATATATGACATTTTATTATGTTTGTGGTTATATAAAGAAGTTATCATTAGGCAAATTCGTTTATAAATACATCTTGATCAATATAGATGTCACACCTCTTTCATCCATCATTCCCTCCCATCCCTTCCAAGCCAACTCTCCCCGCTTCATGCATTTTTTAGTTTCATGAGCTATGCAACTGCCTGTTATGACTGCATATATCAAACTCATCCTCCTCCCTCCACACGTATCCAGTCCCAATATATCTCTGTGTTCCACTTTCGTATGTGTATAGAAAGTATGTCGACCCTATTCACCATCCTTCATCCTCTCGGTTAGCTCTGCTTTATCCCAGCCAGCAAACGATTCCTCTAATTGGGGAATTCTGTTTCCCTGGAAATAGTTAACCTAAGCTCTCCTTTTCTAGGTTCTCCATATCGAGACAAAATCACCATAGCAATCCTTCAGCTGCAGGAGGAAGGCAAGCTGCACATGATGAAAGAGAAATGGTGGCGAGGCAATGGCTGTCCGGAGGAGGAAAGCAAGGAGGCCAGTGCCCTGGGGGTGCAGAATATCGGTGGCATCTTCATTGTTCTGGCAGCCGGCTTGGTGCTTTCAGTTTTTGTGGCAGTGGGAGAGTTTTTATACAAATCCAAAAAAAACGCTCAGTTAGAAAAGGTAAATATTACTTTCTTGCAATTTAAAAGACTTATTTTTGTTATGATAAAACACAAATGAAATGATGTGGGTGTTTTTTGGGGGGGGGGGCGTTGTTATCTTTTAAACCAAGGAGAATGCTTAAAAGTATGGCTCCCAGTGTCTTCTGTCATTCATCACACAACAAGCATTATTTTTGTGAAATATAGCATATTTCACAAAAGGACTCTTGATCATCCTCATGATTTTCTTTTTTAAATCCAGGTGTAGCCAGTTTCTGAATGAATGGCTATTTCTACTTCTGAATAAGGAGAAACTTGTTGAATTTAACTGCAGTTAGTTTAGTGGGAGGGGTTACTTTATGAAGAAGCAAAAATCAGAAATTATTTAGAAATTAAAAACGAAGTCAACAGATGAAAATGTTAAGAGGCAGTTACCTAAGCGTTTCAAACAAGGGAGTAAAATTTGAATATTTCATTTAAATATCTACTAAATTTGTTGTTAAATTTGTCTTAGAAATAATTTAGAAATAATTTTCATTTTTCCATAATAATGAATGTATGAAAAGACGTTGTTTCTTTTATACCACTTAATAGTATTCATAAGGAGTCTTTTATTGCCTTGTCCCAGAGTCTTTAGGAGAATATGTACCACCTCAAAGATGTTGAAACTTACAATTTTCTTTGTATTTTAAAACATTTAGCCATTTGTATAAATGCTTTTGTATACTATTCTTGTAAAGTTTGTGACTTAACCTGAACTCTATATTTCTAGTTCTATAATTTCCTCGTGTTTAAAATATGAGGATATATATAAAATCATTTTAGAGAATATATGTTGTAATTTGTATGTAAATTTTTAGCCCTAGTATAAATTAGCATTTTGAACTCTTCTAGCACTTTATCAGTTTATTTGTATGTAAACATCTTTTTTTGTTTTAATGGAAAACAAAATTATTGTCTTAATCATAGAACCTATAGGAGTGAGTTTATATTCTCTTTAATGCCTGAAAGGTTTATTAAATTTTATTGGTAAATACATAGTGCAAAAAAGTGGCATTTAAAAAATAATATCAAGGGCTGGTAGCTCAGTGGTAGAGTGCTTGCCTTGCATGCATGAGGCCCTGGGTTCGATTCCTTAGCAGAAAAAGCTAGAGGTGGTGCTGTGGCTCAACTGGTAGAGTGCTAGTCTTGAGCTGAAGAGCTGATGGACAATGCCCAGGCCCCACGACTGGCAAAAAAAAATGTATATATATATATATATATATATATATATATATCTCAAATAGTGCTACAAAGGAACATATTGTGCTACTATTTGAAATACTTGACCTTCTTTCTAAACTATGTTGGAAAACATAGTTGAAAATGTCTTCCTTGGCATTGCAAACATGAATACTGACTTCTTGAAATCAGAAATTTAATTACATAATTGTTTCTATTTGATGATAGTACTTAAGATGTATAGATGAAATATTTGTAAATATTTCAAAATATTTATTACAGAAATGAATATTTTGATAACCCATACTGTCTCTTCTTAAATATTTTTAAATTTTGAAGACTTCAGAATATCATACAATTTATTTTCTTAGTACACTAAGGCTGGGTACTCATGACAAATATTTGTTGGACTTGTGGCTACTTATTAGACTATGGACATTTCTTGTGTCATTATTTCTTTTATAGTGTCAAAGTTATCTTTGAGATTAAATTTGAAGACTAAGAGAAAAAATATTATCTCACCAACTACCACTTTAGTACAATTTACCAATAAATGTGATATTTGGTTATTCAATGCTCATATACAAAATTTATAAAAGGAATTTGAATTTTTAGTGGAATCTCAAGTCATCCATATGTAATGTTTTTTTTTAAAGTAACATCTTGATGGTAAAATAAACAAATTGAGCCTGACAATATGTGGTGGTATTCAATTGTCCTTATCTTAAGGTGTCTTGTTCATTTGGTTTATGTAGGTTATGTCCCTAACACTATTCTTTTTAAAATATGAAGAAAGAGTATGATCATTTAATTTTGAAACTAAGTTTATCTCATTGTTATTAAGTACAACCAACATGGTTGAGTTTTTAAAATACTAAGTAGACCACTTGAAGTTCTACAGATCTATATGACCTTCTGAAAATAACTAAAAGGAAGTTAGTGTATCTTTTTAAGCAGACACAGAGGAGCCTGTTGCAGTGAGGGAATACTTGTAATACTAAGTGATACTAAGTAAATATTATAGTACTCTCCTCATTGCTTTCACACAATCTCGATAGCTTCCCTAATGAATACCAAAATCCCTAATTTATCATAAGAGACATTGCAGGACCTGTTCCTGTACACTTGTGTTTTCCTCTTTATCTTCTTTTCTTAATTATGTCAAATTACTTTCCATTTCCCAAAGTAAATCTTTCATTTTGGCTGGAGAAAAGCTTGTCTTTTTACCTACCTTGCAAATTTTGCCATTAATTTTAAATTAAACATTAAAAACTGGGCATTAGGAAGTGGAATTGTGGCTCAAAGTGGTAGAGCACTATTCTTGAGCAAAAGTGCTTAGCCCCAAGTTCAAGCCCCATGACTGACAAAAATAAATGAGTGAATGAATGAATAAATAAATAAATAAAATTGAGCATTCAATTTCCCAGAAGGATTACCTAATCAACAGGTAAAATGAGCATAGTATCATTTTACAAGATTGAATAGGGATTTAATGAAAAATTGGACCCCCCATCTCTTTCTCCCTCTCTCTCTCTGGCTAAGTTGCTCTCAGGTTGTTATTATCATTCTACATATTCTTGTCCTATCAATAAAGATGGAAAATATGCTTTTCTCACATGAACCCATTTCTATCAGTAAGCTCAGGAATCTTTTCCCAATGAATCCTATGTACATTGTCATAATTTCTTAGTACATTATTGAATTCATATTTGAATTCTGATTAGAGGCATCTTTATTAAACTGTTACATTTTCTTCCCTTTAGGCCAAGTTCTTAGTGGTTTTTGTCATTTTGTTTTGTTTTAATCTATTTCTGGGATCTCTCGCTCTCTCACCCTACCCAACACCCTTTGTAGTTTTTATTTTCATGATTAGGATTTTTGGCTCAATTTTCCATTTTTTCATAAAAATTGTCTTCAGGTGGATTACACAACTGTTTGATAATTTATTTGATTTATTTAAATTGAACATAAGGTATTTTTAGTTTTATTATTAAATTTACATGAGTACAAACAGAAGTTTCCAATTTACTTACATTTATTAGATTGTGTCTTTGACCTCTTAAATTTTAAAAATGATGGAAACCCTTGTGAAATTACCAAGCAAAATTTATTAAGAACCACAGCTACAATGAATTGTTTCATGTATTCAACTTTAAGTAAGAATGTGTTATTAAATATTCCAACCTCAGATTACTTAATTATGTTTTCTCTTTTCTTCTTTTCTTTCTTCTCTGGTTACATTATTTTAATGATATTAGTTTATTTTTAAAAATAAAAAGTCTAAATTTTCTGCCAGATACAATATATACATAGAATAGTTAAGTATAGTTTTATAAATAAAATAACTGATAGGTACCCAGTATGGCTCAAGCCTGAAATCTTAGCTACTTAGGAGTCAGAGATCTGAGAATCAGTTCTAAGCCATTCTGAACATGCAAATATAAGTGACTTATTTCTAGTTAACTACCAAGAAACAAAAATTGGAGGCGTGGCACAAGTGGCAGAATGCCAGCTGTGAGCAAAAAAGCCAAGTAAGAGCACAGGCACCGAGTTAAAGTCCCAGTAGCATCACCACAATAAAGTTACTGGTAGATAATAAATTTCACTAGTTAAGTCTTCCCCCAGTGTTGTTGATGATGAAAAATATCAAAAGAAATATAATTATTCAACTATGAATATAAAAAGTTCTTTTTAACCTTTATGCTATAAAATATTAATAGGAATGCATAGTTCTTAGCATTCCTCCTATCTCCAAGTTGCTTGATAATTAAGCTTACTATAAGAACAAGCTAAACATAAAATCACAAAATAAAATTGAAATCTGTAGGCCTTATAAATTTTAAAAATGTAAAGCCTATTATTTTAAGTTGCTTTATCTTAATTTCTAAAATAATGGCTTTTATTTCGATGAAAACTGTAATATAGCTAATATATATGACATCTTATTTATTCAAACTTTTTGATAAATAGTATTTTTCCTACTATTTAGAAAGATACCACAAAGGGTTTTTTTCTTGTGTGTATTATATATATATGTATGTATATATATGAAAAAATACCAATCTACAAACACCTTTTATATTTGATTTTCTTCTGGGTTATCCTTTTATCCTTTGACTATGTTGATACTTAAGGTATGAATAGCAATAAAATTTTGGCACAAATATTTGTTGAAAAGGTCTTGTCTACTCGTTATGTACTTGCTTATACCTCAAATCAATATTTTGTATATAGAATTTTGTTTTCTCTGGCAATTACTATAGCATCTTGGCTTTGTTAAATAATTAGAATACTTTAATTTTTAATAAAATTATAGTATAATTGTTGTTCATTAATTTCCATTTAAATGACTTATTAATTACAGAATATCCTCATTTAAAAGATATACATAATTCTGTCTTTGGCTTTTTAGCAAGAGTAGTAGCAAACTTAGTTTGATATATTTTGTCAGGGTCCTATAAAAATATTTTATTCCTTATGTAATTGCAAATGATTTTTCTCATTCAGATTGTGTATCTTAAATGACTTGATCATGAATTAAGTTTCCTGAGGAAAAAAATTAAACGATCATAAAAGAATTTTCATTTTCTAAAGCATATTTATAAATATGTCTGAGATAATTGTTGCTTAGACATCGACTGTGTATATTGAACATTGTATTTAAGTTTTCTCTGGGATGGTTAAAGTATGTATTATTACAATATCTTTACAATTTGTAAATAGTGATCCTTTCCTAGGCATTGATTGCTTAGAATAAAATTTAAAGGATAAATATGCTATTTTCATTTATAGTTGATG